ATATAGGAAGAAATAACTGCAACATCAGCTGAAACAAACACAAAACTGGCATAGGCTTTGTCATAAAGATCAGACATTGGATCTAGCAACATGCTTTCTCTGTCACAAAAGTCTTTCATCTGCAGACTTTGCAGGTCTTCGAACGGAAAAACAACAAAACAACTCGAATGAGGACATTTAGTGAACTGAAGGCCCAAACCACAATGATAGCCACCCCTGTGTTTCTGATGGTGATGATGGTAGCGTGCCTCAGTGGGTAGCACACAGCTACATATCTCTCCAGACACATCACCACCAGTGTAAGAGGGGAGATCACAGTTGTGAGGTTGCTGAACATGGTGAGAGCACCACACACAGGATACGACATTGTTACTCTACAAGCAGCCAGTAGGTACATTAACTGACTCAGTGCCAGTAATACAGTGTCTGCAAAAAGGAGGTTATACAGAAGAATGTAACGAGAGGTCTCACGAAACACAGATTTACTCCTCAAGGTGAATAACATGGTCCCATTAATGAAGAGAAACACACAGCATGGTACTGTAGTCAGAGTGGAAAACATCACTAATCCCAGTAACTCCTGATACTGCAAAGTAACAGTAAAGTTAATCTGAGACTGATTTACATCCAACATTTTACAAGCAAAAATATTAACCTGTTGATGAAATTTGGAGCACATAAGCAAAATAAATTTTCTCCAGTTTGTATTCGTAACAGTGACAACATCACATCATTAGTGTTTACATTCCAAACCCAAAGTCATTTACGTACGTTTTCCTCGTGCAGACAGTTGGTCAGAGCCGGTGTGCACATGATGTTTGAGTTTTTATAGACACCTTCTTCCTGTGGCATCGTCATCAGATGGGCAGGGATACAGATTTCAAGGAATTCCTGAATGTGTTAATAATGAATAAGTCGTAAAATGTTTAAAAAAGTTGTTTAGAAAATGTATCTTTATATACTACTGGTAAAATCCAAGTACTCTGAGTGAGAACATCTGTTATTACCAGTTAAACAGAAAATAGGTATTACTGGTAACAGATAGACTGAAGACTGAAGATAACAAGTGTACAAAGTGTAAGCGTCCCTCCCAAATTGATAATCTTGTTAATAGTGCTGCAGGCTCACTACGAAGAACATTAGATTCTATCGCTCCTATAAAAAGGAAATTATTAAAACATAGGAAACTAGCACCGTGGTACAACCACCAAACCCGCCAATTAAAGCAAAAAGCGCGGAAATCTGAAAGGAAATTATAGAATATCGCTCAATTTGGCAAGATAATCTTAAAACATATAGAAAGGCCCTCCATAATGCCAGAGGAGCCTATTATTCAGCACTAATCTGATTGCTTCCAACAATGGACTTGTATTATTAGATCTTAGTGCTGCATTTGACACCATTGA